ATAAGGGCCGCTCTAGCCTCTTTGGTGAGGCTACGAGGGGAAGCAAGATCTGGATCACCCTTAAGAGTAGTATACAAAGGCTGGAGCATAATATTAGGAATATGTAAATATCCTCTTATCCAATTAATATCTCCCAGCAGTTTTTGAAAATCATTTAGAGTGTGGAGATCCTGAGTTCTTATGGTGACTTTTTGTGGTTTTAATTTGTCATACCCAATTGTCGCTCCCAAATACTTAATAGAATCCTCTGTTTGAACCTTTTCAGGTGCAATATGCAGTCCATATTGAGCTAACAGCTTCACTAGTTCTTTATAGGCCTCATTAACTGTCTGCTCTAATTTAGCGGCCAATAATACATCATCCATATAATGAATGATCTTGATGGAGGAATACTTTTGTCTGAGAGGTGCGAGTGCCTTCCCCACGTACATCTGACATATGGTAGAACTATTAGCCATTCCCTGCGGCAACACCACCCACTCAAACCTTTGATCTGGTTCCTCATGGTTACACGAGGGAAGGGTGAAGGCAAAACGCTGTGAGTCTTTAGGATGCAAAGGAATAGAAAAGAAACAGTCTTTAATGTCAATAGCAATAACATCCCAGCCCTGAGGAACAGAGGAGAGCAGCGGCAGCCCTCTTTGAATGGGCCCCATAAGTTGAATTTGAGCATTAACTGCTCGTAGATCATGCAGTAGGTGCCACTTCCCTGATTTCTTCTTAATGACAAATATGGGAGTATTCCATGGAGAAGTAGAAGATTGGATGTGACCCGAGTCAAGTTGTTTTTTAACTAAATCATAGGCTGCTGCCAATTTAGCCGAGGGAAGAGGCCACTGAGGCACCCAAACAGGCTCCTCGGTGAGCCATGTTATAGGTATTTGAGCCCCAGTGGCCCCTAGGAAAAACCCATACCAAATCTGTTAAGCTTTTGATGACCTTGCACAGGATGCCTATGCCCCTGTAGGTGTTTTCCTAGTCCTAGACCTGGCCTATACCCCATATTTTGCATAATTTGTTGAGACACTGGGGAATAGTCATTACTAAGAGTGAACCCCATGTCTTTCATCAAATCACGGCCCCATAAAGAAATAGGTAGATCAAGTACATAAGGCTGAAAGGTACCATTGTGTCCTTCCAGGTCCTTCCAAGATAAATGTCTACAGCTGATTTGAGGAGCTTGGGCATATCCGAGTCCTCTTAGGGATTGATCAGAAGTCTGCACTGGCCATCCCTTAGACCAGTCCTTAAGGGCTATGATACTACGGTCTGCTCCTGTATCCAGCAATCCCACAATAGATTTACCTTCTATGCTTAATTCCAAAGTGGGGCGATTGCTCATATCCAGTGACAAATAGGCACAAATCCCTCCGGTGGTACCAATCTCACTTCCCGTCAGGGACCTTGAGTCAGCAGGGAAGTGGCTATGTAAGCTAGGCAAAATTAGCAATTGAGCAATCCGATCCCCTGGGGAGATAGACACAATGCCCTTTCGAGCTTTATTGCCCCTACAGCATCAGGGCTTATGACTCTGGGGAAAACATGAAGACCTTGTAAGATAGAGGATGCACGTCCAATTAGCAAATTACAGTGCCAGGTGGTAAAGGCCCTTTGAACTCAGTTTCCACCAATTGGACTCCCATCTTAGGTGTTAATACAAGTCTGGAGGTGGAACAGAGGTCCAATCCCGCTGCACCTGTAGTGGCTCTCTGCGTCTCATGGGATGGCGTAGAGATGGCCATGTCTTGTGTTCGGGTGTGACATTCTCCACTGCCCCATATATTTGTGGGCCCTGGGGTCAGGGGCCCTGTCGGCCGTTTTTTGGCCCAGCTGAAATAGGCTGTCCATGGATGTCCCTCACTGATCTACACTCTTTTGCCCAATGCTTCCCCTTTTTGCATTTTGGACACAGCCCCGGTTGACGAGGGCCATTGGAAGGGCCACCGTGAGGAGGTCCAGTAAAATTGTCTTTTTTGGGACATTCATGTTTGAAATGACCGGGTTGACCGCAACGGAAGCATGTTCCAGCACTAGGACCACCCCCTTTTGCAATCCGAAGGACAGCAGCTGCAAGACCTGCATTAGTTAAAGGTCCTCCAATCTCTCTACACATCTTCATCCATGCTTCTATGCCCTTGTTTTTATAAGAAGTGATTGCTGCTTTACATTCCTTGGTGCATTGCTCAAAGACCAATTGCTTGATAAGGGGCATGGCTCTATCAGGATCCCCAAAAATCTTTCCGGCGGCATCCATCATCCTTGCTACAAAATCTGAAAAGGGTTCTGTAGGGCCTTGTATAATCTTGGTTAGATTACCAGACACCTCTCCTCTATTTGGAAGTGA